AAAATGCACGATTCTTTTTCTACGATTTAAATTATCTTTAAGTTTATTATTATCTTTAAGTTTTAATTTGCTTTAAGTTTTCAGTGAAATTAAATGTTAAACACAGCTTAAACATTCCAAACTACCTATTTTTTAAATAAAAATCCAAAAAATTGAAATTAGATACCTACCTATTTATTAAACAATTAATTTAATTCAATGTAATAGCAAAAATCCATTTCTACTTAAATCATTTAGCTAGGTATTGTCAAACTATTACTGCTTCTAAAAGCAATAATAATTATTGTACATTTAATGTAATCTTTAGCTAATAAATAAATGAGATTCTAAAAAAGTGAGGTTAGGCTGCTTTGATGTTGAATTAAATTGACCCATATAAAGTACTTTGAAGATAAAATGTTGTATGCCATTCGGCCAAGAAGTGCCTTTTTGTGCTTCGCTCAATTGTAGGCCTCCGCTACGCGTCGGCCTTCAAACCTTGAGCTTAGCACAAAAAACCTTACTTCTTAACCTAATGACATAAATAACTATTAGAGGTTCTAAACAAAGATTTTATCTTTGGTTCTAAATTAGAACTATAAAACTGATTTATTGAAATATTTTGTCAAAATTTTAACTTGTGGACTTCTTACCAATTCAATGTCTGTCAATTTAAGGCTAATTTTGTCTTTTTTCTGAAAATAATATAATATACATATTCCTATTACTTTACGGTCATTTCAAGCATACGGAAGGGACAAATCACAAAACTGTTTTTAGAAAAAAAATTGTAGGTAGATAATTTATTATATACTATCTTGGAATAAAAATTGTCAAAAATATTCTTTCTTTATTAGGCTATACATAAAATAAAAAACGCAATAAATATTTTATAAAAGTAGAGATAATTTTAATAATTGAAAGATAAATCTTTTTTTTGTCCCATCCACACCTTTCAATTATTAAAATTATCTCTACTTTTATAAAATATGTCTTGCGTTTTTTTTTATTAAAGAAAAGAAGAATATTTTTGAAATTTTTGATGCCAAAATATTATACAGGGTGTTCCAACGAAAACTTGTACCCCCCCAAACGTTTTATCGGATGAGTGTGGAAAAAATTCCTTGGACACGTCAATTTTTATTTTTAGGGGGAGGAATTTTGATGTATGTTTCACGCCCCCACCCGCACCCCTACACGCTCCACCCCGCCCGCCCCCTAAATTTTAAATTGTAAGGGGGGTTGAGTGATATATCATTTTAAAGGTCTTTTAATTCTTAATAGGATTCTGTAATTTTTTTAAAATCTGTTGGTTAGTTTTGGAGAAATTGCTATTTGAAGTTTTAAATTTGGTAAAAAAAATAAAACAAAAAAACTTTTAACTTTTGGGGAACTTGGGTGTGGGTTTTATAGAGCAAATGTGGATTAGTATCGCTCCAATAGCGACAATTATATCTATTCACTTGTCCATTTAACATAAAAGTGCACTCATCCGAAAAACATGTATTATACAAAAGATTAGGATTAATAATCAACTGCTCACTGAAATATTCGCAAAACTGTAACCTGCGATCAGGGTCATCTTCATTAATTTCTTGAACCAGCCGAATTTTGAAAGGATGAAACTTGTTCATTTTCATGATGCGAAACACACTGGTGGCGGATACGCCAGAGGCTTGAGATAATTTCCTGATAGACTTCTATGGCTTCATTTCTTACTGGACGGTTTGCCTCACGTTTTTTGTTGTGGATGGAACCCGTAGTTTGAAACTTAGCTACTAATTGTTGAACGTATTGGTAACTTACGTTTTTTTCGAGATGATTATTATTAAAAATTCGTGCCGAGGCGTTTGCACAATCATTATTTCGATAATAGGTTGCAATAATTCCGTTCTTTCTTCAATGGAGTATACCATTTTGAGAATAAGTTGTAAAGTTCACAATGTTAAACTAAAAAGGTTTAGATAACTAAACTGATAACAACTTATTGAACATAGGCATTTACTAATTATTCTTGATAACTGCATTTAAATAAATCCGTGTGGCGCGTGCGCGCGTTACCATGGCAACCTCATAAAAAAAAATGTCATGCATGCCTGTACTTTGAACATTAAATTCTTTAATTTACAATTGTTTTTTTATTCATCAAATTTAAAACTTCAAATAGCAATTTCTCCAAAACTAACTAACAGATTTTAAAAAAATTACAGAACCTTATTAAGAATTAAAAGACCGTTAAAATGATATTTCACTCAACCCCCCTTACAATTTAAAATTTAGAGGGCGGGCGGGGTGGAGCGTGTAGGGGGGGCGGGTGGTGGCGTGAAACATACATCAAAATTCGTCCCCCTAAAAATAAAAATTGACGTGTCCAAGGAATTTTTTCCACACTCATCCGATAAAACGTTTGGGGGGGGTACAAGTTTTCGTTGGAACACCCTGTATAATACATTATCTACTATTTTTTTATAAAAACTGTTTTGTAATTCGTGCGTTTCGCGCGCTTGAATAATTATTTAATAAAGAGACAAAATTGGTGTAAAACTAACAGCTATATAGCTTCAATTATTTTAAAAAATGATTTTATAATTTAAATTGAATTTAAATAAAAAATAACCCCATCGTTTAAATTACATGTTTTGTGTAAAAAATTCTCAGCTTTCAGAAAAAATATTAAATTTGAAATAAAAATTGCCGCAAGGCCAAAAAATAGCATTTTCCTCTTTGGTTGAATGTTTGAGGGTCTTTCAATGAAAGACCCTCAAACATTTAATTAAAGATTTTCATTACTTATAATAATAAATAAATATTTTCATTAAAAAGCTAAGAATTTCTTACTTTTTGTATTTTTATAAAACATTCTTTACATCCAAAAAAAACTAACGAAAAATTAAATGTATATCGTAAAAATTTGAAAAATTATTACTAGGATGTATGTACTAATATTAAGAGCTCAAATCTTCAGTGAGTTATTATTTTGATGAAGAGAATAAATCCACAAAATTTTAACAAAATTCGCGAGGAGCAACTTAAAAAAATGTATTTGGTGGAATGACCCATTGGTTGGCACCATTGTTTTAATTAATAGTATTGTTTATTGACTTATATATTTCCTTATAGGGCAAGTCGGTACAGTATTAACCATTAACGTTTATGGATCTTTTTGTACAGAGCCGTATCTGGGCGAAACTTTTATGGGAAGGGTTAGAACAGTGGCTGTTAAAATATTTTGAAGGTTTTAAAAAATAACATTTATTTTTGTACCTAAATTTACTAGGCACAGAATTGCAAAAAAACGGGACAGGCGCTAACGTAAAATTACCAGAGGCTAGTAAAATTAAGGAGTATCTAAATATGGATAAATTAACTGTTTGCTTTAAAGACAACATTTGTAGCAAAACATAATTTAGTGATAACAAGTTTTCAATTTGGAACGTTATTTTCTAAGAACAAGTCGCATGTCCAACAGGGTTTGCCTGATTTAAATCAACGATGTAAATAAACCATTTAAATCAACGATTTAAATCAAGTGATTTTTTTATTTTAATCAATGATTTAAATCAGTTTAAAAAAAAAGTTTCTAGAATCTAAAAAAAACACTTAAGATCTAAAACTAAAGCACAATAATATCTTGACACTATTTAAATAAATTCATATGCATAGAAGAACTGCTTATTTTGTTAAATAAAATAATAAAGGAATAGGTATACAAAAAATATATGACAGTTGCGGACGGTGGTTTATTTGTTTATAAAGTAGTGCCAATTAATATTTTTTTTGAATAGTAGGTACACTTTATTAAGGAAAGCTTATAATTTTGAAAAATTGTTATAAAAATTTAAAAAATTCTTTGTTGATTTTTTTAATTTTTTTATTAAAAATTATTAATTTTTGTTTTTTTTAATCATGATTTTTTCGAACCCTGGACATTGGACTATCTTACCTGTGATTTTTTACGCGGGCTAGTAAATTTGTAAGAGGCTAGTAGTTACATTGAATATTACTTAAATACTTTGATTCCTAGTAATTTTTTTAATTTGGGGAAAATTTAAAAATATATCCTTTAAAATAGAATCTTTTTTTGTTTTTCCATGAACTTAACTCTATTTTTCTTTTTGTTCATTTATATTATCCCATTTATTGAACATTGTTTTTAGATTGAGTTGATTTTTGTATTTTTTTAAATTTTTATAAAAAATTGTATTTATTTAAACAAAACCAAATTAAAGTTCATTTTTGTACTTTAATTTTCAACTACAATTCTTTGACAATTTTTTGACATTTTGAGTAAATATTGCCAAAGAGTATCTTTGCATATTGCTATTTTCTAAAATGTTAAGGTAAACATTAATTGCAGCAATAAAAATTCATTCCCACAAGAGTCTAAAACTGTTTAAAACAGTCAAATGCCTGCACAATAGGACTCTTGTAGGAACAAACATATTAAGTCCCTAAATTTATACCAAATTTTGTTAGGTTTGTGTATTCAGTGATGCTGCATCTACAGGATAAGAATGACAAATGGATAATTTTTCATTTCGTTTAATATTGCAAAACTGTGTTGTGAATGTGAACAAAAATTCATATGCAACTTCTACAGGCATAAGTGCATAGGTGAAAAATGTTACATCAATGTCTTATTGTCATGTTCTATACAGCTAGCCCATATATTTTTAGAATCTTTAATATATTTTTACCTAAAAACCAATACTGAAATGGAAACATTTTTTATTGTGCCTTATATAGTGCCCAAACCTCCTTAAGTAAATCAATAGTTTTTAGTTTTATTATAGAGATATGGCCACAAAATTCTGAAAATCTATTTGTCTGTTAAAAAAATTTTAATATTTTGTTATTTTTGTTGCTTACTTTATGTAGGTATCATGATATATCGTCATATTTAAGAGACATTTTATTGCTGTTTATTTTAGGTCAATAAAATTGTAAGCATACATTTTTTAAAGTTATAGGTAATAGTATATAAGTACTATATTTTATCTACAGTATTTTTAATTTCTTACCAGTAGGTGAATTAATCAGCTGTAAGATAAGTGGCCTACGAGTTACAATGCCAGATCCTCTAGGAAGGAAGTCTCTGTAAAAGATATTTGTGTCAGTCAACTTATCACAATACAAAATATAAAAATCAATAAAGTTACTACCCACATACCTACTGTAATGCTTGAAAACAATAATGAACAATGCGTTATATTTATAAAAATTTAAACGTTAAACAATAAATTAAGCATCTAATTAAATAACTAGAATCTATTCCCCCTTTTAGGAAAAATTGTGACTCAAAACTTATAAGACAGGTCAACCTGTCAATTTAGAACTGTTTATTGACCAACTATATTTGAGACTTTTTATTATTTAGGTAATTAACTTATTTTGGCTATTTTTTTTTTACCTGCCAACGAAGTTTTCCAAAACTGAGCTTTTTCCAGCGGATTGTCCGCCCACTACTGCAATTTGTGGTAAATCCAATGTCAAATGCACCCCCAGTTGCGTAAAGGCATCCTGCAATTTATTTACAATGGGAATAAGTTGTTCCATCCCCATGTTCCCTGACATTTTTAGGCCGAGACTTTATAAATCTGCCTTAAAAACAACAATTAAAGTTTACAGTTCTACGAATGTATACCAACGAACATGGCTGAATAATAACTGAGTGCGCATGAGTCATTCAAAATTGATATTTTTTATTATGAAGATTGGCGAACAATAAACAATCTCCGATTTAAATAATTTGAGTGATAAGATAATAAATAAAATTAAAATATTTATATTATCAAAAAATAAGTTTTCAATTCACTGTTTAAAAATATTACAATATCAATACAGTAACGCATGCGCAAATATAAGTTTAAATAGAACCAGCGTTGCCAAATAACACATTTTTCTTAACTTATGGGATTTGCTTAGAATGTTGATTAGAATAATTCCACCGAAATCATGATTGGCTACAAGTGTTACGTCATGGATTTTAATCATATAAATAATACTGGTAGTATAATACTACTAGTATTTCAATGATTTTAATAATAATTAAATAATAATAATAATAGTGATAATTATCACTGCTTAATATATATTATAATTATAATTATCACTGCTTAATATTATGCTTATTAATAAGCATAATATTAAAAATATTAGCTTTATGCCACGACTAGTAATAGTAATATAAATAAAAAGGGTTAGAAAAACTTGTAAGCTTTAAAGCTTTATATCAAGATCCAGGCCTTACACATCCCGGTCAACATTGTAACGTAACATTAACCAAAATGTTATGTAACGATTGTGATGTGTAACATTACAGTTACATAACCTGATGGTTGCAAATAGTTTCCTATTTCCCACTCATATATAGGAGTAACATTGTTACCTAACAATCTCAGATAGCAAAATGTAGTCACGATGCGCGCACAGTGAGTGCACGCGTGCGTCTTTAAACGGCACGGGATGCGCTTACATATGCGTGCCATATGCAGCGCACGTGTGCCGGCGCATTTAAGAGCACGTGTGCCGACGCATTTCCAGCATGAATGAGTCAAAAAAGTTGTATATTTTAAAAGGAAATGCATACAGGGTGTTATGTAATTAATGTTATATATTAAAATGGGTTGTTCCTTAGGGTCCATAAAGAAGCACCTGAAACTTTTTTTTTCTAAATTCCAAAGTCTAAAAATAATTTATAATAACCTTTATCCTACCAAAAAGTACGCCACTGATCGACTAGGAACTTTAGGTTAATCTGGTGGATTTATTATGTTATGGTTGGTGACAGTGTTTCCAAAATCTCTCAAAAAAGTTGACAAACATTGTTTAAATTTAGCTTAATTACAAAAATGACAAAATAATTAAAGATAATATGTGCATAGAGCCATTCGCTATGGTGCATGGTTGGAATGGACTACAAAATGAAGGTTAAACAATAAAAAATGTATACATGAAATTGGTACGAAATATTTAATGGTTAAATTGTATGGATGATTTTAAAAGTGTAATGTATGATGATAAGTAATTTTGGACAATGTTAAATGTATTGAAAAGAAACGAAGAAAGAAAATGGACATATTAATAAATAAACAAGAATATATCGAAAAATAAGTGTGAAAATTTTTTTTTAAGTGATACAGTGAAACTTGTGATAGAAATTAGACATAAATTAATATTAAAATGAACTATGAATAATAATAATTTAAAATAAATGATTTTAGGGATGAGTTGTACTCAGAATCTGAGTCTCAGATTCTCTTAACTGAGACCCTTGAACATATTCAAAAAACATAATGAGCTGGCCAAATAGCTTTTAATTAAGCTAAAGGCCATTACCCCTGAACACAGTGCATCTGTGTTCAGATTGAAGAAGAAGAAAATGACAAAATTAACAATGCAAATTGTCAATTTGGCGTTTTTATTAATTGTTGGTTATTTCATTTTTGTACTGAAGGTATACCTTCAGAACAAAAATGAAAGTTGGCAGATTTTGTTTGAATTTATAAATTCAAACAAAATCTGCCAACTTTATGACAGAATCTAGTGCATTTCTTTTAAATTTTAGGTTATGTTTTCAAATTGTAAATATCTTAACTAAGGGAAGTGCTTTTGGATTTATTTACACAAATTAAATGTTTAAAGTTTCCAATTTCATCTGAGTAAACAGAGAAAAAAACTGATGAAAAAATTAACTTTGTGGTTATGGATTTCAAATTTCAAAGGTACTAAATTTTCTAATCATTGCTTAAGCTAATAGCTGGATCAGTAAATAAGTACAGAAGGTTATTAGAGCTTTATGGGCATAAAACTTTTGTATTTATTGAGTTTTTATTTATTTTTTGCAAGAAAAATTTTTAGTAACAATTTTTTACCTCTGGCAACGCATAGCTACTTTGTTGGTTGGTATCTATGTACTCACAAAATACAGGTGTGCAGAGATAAATAAGTGTGAAACCAGTGGCGTATCACAAAAAATATAAAAAACTTCTAATGCATATTTTTTCTTTATCTTTGGAAAAATGTTTTTTTAAATATTTTTTCTTTATTCCTTATGTCAAAAGGTATTCAGTATTTTAATATATGACATTAATTACATAACACCCTATATATAACGACGGGTTTAATACAAAATGGCACAAGCGCCAAATTTTTTGAAAAATTGTTAGAAGTACAGGTACAGGTACTGTTTTGCTTTAAACCCGTCGATATATATATATATATATATATATATATATTCTGTTTTAGGTTTCCGCTGACGTTATATGTATTGGTGGTTTTTCGGGATCTGCTCTGTGTTGTCGGTTTTTGGTTCTTAAAATAACCGTATGTCTGACGACGTTATAATATCACCAACGTAAAATAAAATATATAATAACACGTGGACACAACAAACACAATAGAAAATTAAATACAATACAAAAACAACCCGATTGCAGTAATGTAATAAGGTTATGTTTTTGTCGAATTACCGCGTTGACCGGTTACGCGCGAATTTTAAAATTTGAATCATTTTTGTAATTATAAGGTGAATAAAAACGAAATCTACTGTTTTTTTATAGAATCTGGCATCACTGCCGATAAGCACAGTGTAAGAGATCATTGATCACGTCGTGCGCTCATACTGCGCTCATCGCGTGGGCATATGCGTGTGAAATCGACCACACGTATGCGTTCTCACGCCGTGCGACCTACGTGCGACGCACGATTGCTATCATATGTTACATTGCCGTTATGAAAATGAAACATACCTAACTGTAACGTAACATTAACCAAAATGTTATGTAACGATTGTGATGTGTAAAATTACAGTTACATAACCTGACGGTTGCAAATAGGTTCCTATTTCCCACTCATTGAAGTAACAATGTTACATTGCCGTTCCCTGCTTAAAATACCCCATAGAGACCCTGTTCAAACCGATAGATATTTGTATCGGAATGTATGGTGTTTCTATAGGGTGTATCGGTATGTATAGGACCCTTAGTTGCGATTTATGGTTGTTCTATAGGGATATCCACCCTTGATTTATTTGCTATTGGTTTCAATGGGGAAATTACACATAAATGTAGAAATTAGTTTTTCCCCCATAGGACCTCATAGGTTTTAAAAAAATTTTGTCAAATGTTTTATGGTATCTCTATAGGGATATCCCTATATAGGGTAGATGCCCCGGTTGTGGCCATCGCACCGTTTGTGGCCATCCACGAAACAAATCTAAAATATTAACGGCCACTTTTAAACTAGCCAATAAGACAATCTAAAATCCCACTCATTAAGTTATTATGGATCGCGCTAGTGCATTACATTGCGTTTGTTAGTTACAGTGTTTTTTAAAACAGTCGATTTTTAAGCACGCGGCGGGAATGTTGTGATTTTTTAGGGATTTTGTTAAGAAACACGAGGTAAGTTAATGCATGATTCTGTCTAAGAATTTAAATGTTTGTGTTCAAAGTGGATGGTATTTGACTTATAAAGGAATTTTACATGTTATTTTAACACTTTGAAGTAGATATTTAACTCATAAATAATTAAATTAATAGTGGCCACAATTGGAGCATAAAAAGTGCTTTCTGCACCAGTTGTGGTCTTTAAGTGGCTACAAATGGGTCATGAAAACCAGTTGTGGCCATGCAGTAGAAAGAGATGGCAAAATGTAATACTAAACAAGGTAGAAAAGGGGCACCTAACAGCCTAAAATTAATTAAATTAATTTGTTTCAGAAAAATTATGGCACCCCGAAAATTATTTCAATATTCCGAAAGTGCCATGCAAAATGCCCTTAATGCCATACGACATGATTATATGCCCGTATCAACAGCATGCAAGAAATTTAATGTCCCTAGATCATCTGTACGAAATAGACTGGATGGTAAAACCAGGGATGATTGCCGAAAAGTGGGTCCAACGTGTTCTCTTGGCCCAAAAGTAGAACAAAAATTGGTTTCCTGGATCCTGGACTGTTCCTCAAAGGGTTTTCCTATAAATAAAGAAGGTCTTCTATACTCTGTACAAAAAATCCAAGAAGAGTGTAATATTCAGACAAAATTCTTTAAAGGGGTTCCAGGAAGAAAATGGTTCGATTCTTTTATGAAAAGGCACCCGGAAGTAAGCAAGAAAAAGGCGGAATTTATAAACAAGGCAAGGGCTGCGGTTTCTGAAGAATCTATTAGACGTTGGTTTAGTCACGTTAAGGAGCTCCTGGGGGCTGATGCTGCTATTTTAAACCACCCAGACCGCATATTTAACATGGACGAGACAGCCATTTTTTTATCACCTAAAGGGTCTCTTGTACTGGGCCCCAGGGGGAAAAATGTATATGACGTCGGCACATCTGACAAAGATAATGTAACTCCGTTGCACCGCCGTTAACAATTTACAAGTTTAAACGTTTACCCAAACTTTACGCCGCAGCTGCTCCCAAAAATTGGGGAATTGGAACTTCGGATTCAGGATGGATGCAAAGCAGGCAATTTTATGAATACTTTGCAAATGTCTTTATTAAGTTTTTGGATTATAAAAGTATTCCTAAGCCAGTGATTGTCTTTGTTGATGGTCACGCATCCCACTTGTCTTTAAATTTAAGCAACTTGTGTCGTGAAAATGGTATAATCCTAATTTGCCTTCCACCAAACACAACACATCTCCTGCAACCTCTTGATGTTGCCTT